TCAGGATGAGTCAGGCTCTGGGTGACTGCCCTACCCCCAAGTGCCCTTGGCACACAGCTCCTGCCGCAGCTGCCCCTGACAGGAAGTCCCTGCCCCCCCCCCCCCCCAACCAGGATGCCCTGGCTCTGAAGATGTGTGGCAGGGTGGTGCTGTGGAATGTGCCCCATTCACCCTCCACATTGTCAGTCCCCTCCTGCTCCCCGCTCCTGGCATCTGGGTCAGTCTCTCTGTGACTTTTCCCTACCCTGGGCCAAGTTGGGGCTGGAACAGCTCAAACCTGAGCCACTTTGCCCTCTTCTTAGGGGACTAAGGTTTGCAGCCTGTTTTCTTTCTCTCTTTTAAATTTATCTGCACCACGTGCCATGTAGGATCTTAGTCTTTCGGTCAGGGATGGCCCCAAAATTTAAAACAACCACCTCCACAAAGCACCAAGTCTGAACATAGCCCCAAATTGATAAATCTCCAGCTTGTCTAATAAGGAAAGAGAAAAAACACAAATTATCAGTATCAGTGGATATCACCACAGATCCTGCAGACATTTAAAGGATAATAAGAGGATATTATAAGTGACTTTGGCCAGTAATTTCAGCATGAATGGAAATTTCCTTGATAGACACTATATAATAAGATTGACTCAAGAAGAAAGAGGAAATCTAATGAGCCTCTTACCTAAAACCTCACAAAGGAAAGCTTCAGGCCAAGATGAATTCTTATCATATGTTTAAAGTAGAAATAACACCAATCTTGCACAACACTAATTTTATTTGTAAAAGTGTTATTCCTGGCGAAAGGATTTCAAGCGTTATGAAACAGGTTAGTCAGGCTCTGTTTGGGGCAGGGCTGTTTTTGAGAACCCCTGAAGTCCTACCTCCATGGCGCCTTCCTCCTGCGGGCTCTGAGGAGGGTGAGAGCGGGGATGGGGCTTTCGTGTGGAAGCCTGGGCTGGGGTCAGAAATGTGGGGCACCTCCGGGAACGGACGGGTGGGCTGTGGGGAGGACCCCAGTCCAGGCCAGTCCCTGCCCTGTGGCCACCAGTGTTGTGAGAATTTGACTCTTCTGGAGTTGGTGAGGAGAGTAAGTTGGCAAAGAGTTCATGAAGGTGATCTAGTCTCAGTTCGAGGCTATGCCTGGAGGGGGTCCAGGAGCCACCCCCTTGCCAAGAGGGGCTTGAGGAAGGGGGCCGATGATGAGTAGGAATGACCACAGGCCTGTGTCCCGGGCCCAGAGGAGTGGCAGAGCCCGGTCACCTCAGAAGGCGGCCTTGAGGAGGTGGCCTTTGAGCTGGCATCCAGACTGGCTAGAGGGTGGGCCTTCTTTGCGGTTATCAGAAGGGACAGGACTTGAGACGAAGGGTCCAGGGTGTGGACAAGGCCAGTGTGGACGGGCTACAGGGAGTGGGCTGGGCCTGGGGAGGCTGCGAGGGGAATGCTGTTGTCCGCAGCTTGTCCGGAGGGTGTGGGGACCAACGAGAGCTTTGAGAAGAGCACAGGCTCCATCCATGTGGATGGACAAGGTGCAGAGGGAGGTAGGGAGAGGGATTAGAAAGACGAGAGAACGCAGCAGGGCGCAGTGTTCTCCAGAGCGGAGCGGGGTAGCTGTGGGCTTGGCTGCGGTGGGGACCATGGGCGCGGGGTAGGACATGGGGTTGGAAGGAGGGGGAAGGGTGGGAGTTTGGGGAAGGTGTGTCGGAGAGGCTAGGCAGTGAGTTGGATTTAAGGGTCTGGGGGCGGGTGAGGAGTCTGTAGATCCCCTGGGATGCCTCGGGCCGTCTGCCTGCACACCCTTGGTGTCCTCCAGGGCGTGGACCTAGGCCCAGGCTGGCTGTGACTGGTCTAATCGCACATGGCCAGATCTGATCTGCCGGGGGGAGCGTGGCAGAAGTGACTGAGGCCAGAGCTGTTTTTAGAAACTTAAGTGCCTCTCCCATCTCCTTGGCAGGAATGCAGGGCTGGGTTCAGGAAGAGCTTGATCCAGACCCACAGCCAGTGCTGACATGTTCTGTGACCTTGCGCCAATCTTTCCTTTCCCTAATGGCCATTTGTCAGCTTCCCCCGTGGGGTGGGTTGAATTGAGGACTTAAAAGGCGGCGGCCCTGTGAGTGCTTCAGTTCTGAGGGTCTTCGAGAGTCTCCCAGGCTGAGTGGACCATGAGGCTGTTCGGTACCTCCTATCACCTTGCCAAGTGCTGCGAGCGCTGCCTTGTGAGCCAGGTCAGGGTCTCCCCGAAGCCATTCCCTTATCATAGACATTCACTGTGCTACCCGAGTTGCCTTTGAGCCGGCGGCTGCAGCACACCTTTGTGTGGCCTGTTCACTTGTTCACCCGCTCCCCCCCCCCCCCCCCCCCAACACACATGGGTACCATTCCTGAGTCCCTGCCCTCACACAACATCCGACCAGAGGAGGCTTCCTTGGCCTCCGCAGCCTGCACCACTGCCGCAGCCGCCCACCAGACTGCAGAGCATTTTCTGTAAATGTCATTTAGGTCGTTGGGTGTTCTCTCTCACTCATTAATGAGTAACTTGGCCTTTGCTGAGACACTCGAGCGTCTCCGGGATCCCAGGAGGGTGGTGACAGACATGCTGCTGAGTTTATTCTTGCTCGGGGGCTGGGAAGCAGGCATGGGGTTTGCAAAGGACTGGCTCCCAAAGGCTGTTCCCACAGCGCCCCAACCTCTGCCCTCAGCTGGCCCAGGTTAACAGAGCCCGCGGGGAAAGAAGCCTTGCTGGGGCTTGGGGAAAGCCGAGCCTTTGCTGTTCTCTCACCTCTGTCCTTGCTGTCGGGGGTGTGTGTGTCCCCATCACCTCCTTCCCTGAGGCAGGACCTCCGGCCATCTGGGAGCCCATTGACTGGCAACTAGGAAGGAGTTTGAGTGTCCTGGCTTCTGGCTTGTGTGCGTGTGTTCTAAGCCTCTTTCAATCACGTCTGACTCTTTGCAGCCCTTTGGACTGTAGGCTGCCAGGCTCCTCTGGCTTGTGTAATCACTAGCACTTGTCAGGGAGGGGCACCCGCAGGCGGGAAGCCACATGGGGAGCCCTGACTTCTGTCTTAGTTAAGAGTTTATACTCTGCTCTCCCATCTCTTTGGCCATCACCAAACCAGCTTCTGCCTCGTCAGCAGGCTCCTGGGAGAGGCTTCTGGTCCTTCTGCCTGTAGTTCCTTCCCCCCCAGTCTCCTCTGGCTCCCGTTGCCTAAGAACACTGGCCAGAGCCCTGTGTGACCGCCCTCACCTGCCTTGACAACCTTACCTTCATGTATCTGCTCCAACCACCTGTGTGTTCTTCAGAGCACACCCACTCAAGCTCAGGCTCAAGCTAGGTCCCCTCTGGGAATGCCCTTCCTGCTCCTATGACACCTGCATTCTGCCCACCCCTCGGTAGGAAGGTAGGAAGCCCCCCGCCCCCCAACCCCACAGACCCATGTTGACCTCACTCATGTGGCTGCTGCCATTCATTCCTGCCGCCTCCTCCCCAGGAGATTGAGCCACCTGGATTGAGAGCCAGGTGTTCACGTTGCAGAAACCTTTCTCTGGTCCAGACCTCCCAGCCGGGGTTGGTGGCACAGTCTGGTGGCTTCCAGGGTCTCCAGGACAAACACTGGCAGGAAGTGACTCATAATGCAGGTGCCACCCTCGGGGAGGCCGTTGTCAGTAGCATAAACAAACTTCTAGGAGAGGTGACCCAAGCAGCTATTTTACTTAGACTTTATATGTTCTTCCCTCCCCGGCAGCAGGTTCCCCGTTGCAGGGGCTTCCAATTGTCTCCTCAGAACATGCTCCAGCGAGTCAAAGGCAGATCACAGCTGGTAATCAAGGGCACAAGGACTCCCTCTGGAGGGCCAGCCCTGGTGAGCAGCGACACCCCACTCAGGGCTGTGTCCCAGGGCCTCTCAGGGACAGGCACTCGGGGTGGGGGCCTGCGTCTGCGAGAGCATGCTCCGTGTTCACTCGTCTGCAGGCAGGTCTGATCCAGCTGCCATGGTCGTGTGGTAAGGAGGGAAGCCCAGGAAGATATTTCCTGCTGCAGGTAGAAGCAGCCTGGGGGTGACTTTCTGCCGTGGCCCTCGGTGTACCCGGAGAACAAGCGTGCTCCATCAGGGTTGAGACGAACATGGCTTCTCTAGGCCTGCAGAGAGGTTGGGGAGGATGGTGGTGTGGGGGAAGGCAGTCCAGGCATGCCAAGGAAGGTAAAAGAACCAGATTTAGGAATTTCCCTGGTAGGCCCTTGGCTGAGACTCCACGCTCCCAAGGCAGGGGTCCAGGTTCAACCCCCGGTCAGAGAACTAGATCCCACGTGCTGCAACCGAGAGTTCACATGCATGCCATGGCAAAGATGGAAGATGCTGCAACTAAGACTTGTCATGGCCAAATAAATACTTTTTTTTTTTTTAAAGAACCAGATTTAGAAGAAATTGTTCCCATGAAAATTTCAAATCAATTCCCCTCCTCTCTGCCCCCCTTAATACATTGCAAGAATGAACTTGTACAAGCCTCGTCCTAACTTGAGTGATGCTTCTCCTGCAGGGAGCCAGATAGGTATCTCTGGAGAAGCCTCTGGCCTGGAGGGGCTTCAGGAGGCCTCAGCTTTTATCCTGCCCTGGCTCCTGGTGACTCATCTTTGCTCTGTCCCTCCCGAGTCCTGAGGGTGGCTCCATCCAGACCCATGAGGGAGGCTGGTGGCCTGTCAGCGTGGGCGCTCCTCGACCCTGACCAGCATCATCTTTCAGTACCCACCACCTTCCAGCTCTTCCTGCACATGCACCCTGAGGGCTACCCTGGGTCTGGGCCTGGGCTGGGGTCAGGGGCTTTAAATTCTCCTCGTGGAGCTGAGTGGTGGAAGGGCGGCTCCAGCATGGTGCCTGTCAGCTACAGCAGGTGTGGGCTTGGCTGGAACCACAGGCTGGTCCTCGCCAGGCCGTCCTGTTCTCCGTTAGCTGCCTGGGCAGTGTGGACTGGAAGGAGGGGTGTTCTTCTGAGCAGTGGTTTCTCTCCCTTGCTTTGCAGGACAAGGAAGATGGGGAGCCAAGCACCAAGCAGCTCAGAGAAGGGGAGGAGGAAGGCGAGAAGCACAGGTAAGGCCTGCACTCAGCTCTCGTCCCGGACCACATCGTCCCGGCGGCGTTTGGTCTCTGTCCTGTTGCTGCCTCTCCTGTTGCTTCCCCGTGGCCCCCTTGTTCAGCCAGGACGGTCTTACTGTCGGAACCTTTTCTGCACGCTTGCCCTCATTGGCTATCTGCCTCTCAGCCACCGGCCGTTTTTTTAGCCACCAGACCCCTCACGTTATGCCTCTTCACTCTCTTCTAAAATACTTGGGGTGACATGGTTCTACAGCAACCCCAGAATCAGGTCCAGACTCTCCTTGGTATGTCAAGCTCTGCTTCAGCCATCAGCCTGGGTTCCTGCTCACTGTGAGGACTGGATCTTTTTTCCCCCTAATATTGGTTTATTGGGCTGCACTGGGTGCTAGTTGCGGTATATGGGATCTAGAGCCCCGTGATCAGGGATTGAACCCCGGGCCCCCTGCGTTGGGAGTGCGGAGTCTCAACCGCTGGACCACCAGGGAAGTCCCCGCGACTGAGGCCCTGAGAAAGCTTATCCCGGTGAGCTGTGCTTTGAGGGGGTGCAGCAGGAGGGGAGGGGTGCCCCCCAGAGAAAGCTGGGCTGGCGACTTCCCGACGCCGCAGCCTGCCCTGGCCTCCTCCGCCGGGGTGAGTGGAACCCTCCCTGGGGACCGGCGCCTCGCCTGCGCCTTTGTGTTCAGGCGCCGATCTCAGACGAGATGGGGCCTTTTCAAGCCCACAGGGGCGCATGTGTGTCTGCACGTGTGTGACTTCACACTTTGCAAAGTGTGTTCACACCATCCTCACGGAAGCCCTGTGGGGTTCTCGCCACCTCCCTTGTTTTCAGAGGTGGCGACGGCCGTGCACTGAGGAGGCTGGTGACGCTCCTTGCTGGTGCAGGGACCCTGGTCACCCCAGCTCTGGGCTCCGTGGTTTCTCGTTGGGCCTCAGCTCCCCAGCACGTTGTGCACCCCTCGCTGATGACAGAGACGAAGGCCAGGTTGTTGCTTTTTTTTTTGCCAAGTGACCACAGGCTTGGGGGCTTGGCAGTGGGTGCCTGCACAGTTTCCCCCTTTCTGTGGTAACTGCTGAGAGACCCTTAGGCTTCCTTCTGGTTTGTCCTCAGGTTTTTGATTGCTGGCTGGAGCCTGAGTCATTTCTCAGATCCGGTCGTCTACGCACAGACAGTGCAGGGTTGGGGTGGCGGCTGAGAAATGGGAAAGTCCAGTAGGACTGGAGGCAGGGACCCCAGTGCCTCACCCCTCACCGGCCTTGCTGGGGAATCACCCACCTTCCTCTCTGCCCGTGCTCCAGCCCATCTGTCCGTGGAGACCTTTTTGAAATCGTGGCTGTTTTAGTTCCTTTGGCTTTCCTTGTAAATTTTAGAGTCAGCTTGTTAACATCTACTTGAAAAGCTTGCTGAAGGTGACAGAGTAAATCATGACCGAGGGGGACAGTGACACGCTGTGGACACTGGGAGAGGAAGGGGGTACTTTTTGGATGAGGTACCCCACCCCCCATTGTCTTAACCCAGTCCTGAGTGGCCCCGTCTGTGGGTAGTTCAGAGAGGGTGGAGGGGACATACTGCCTCATGTCAGTTCCTCTTAAAATTTCAGACTGTTATCATCATCTAAGCACATGTGTCTATTATTGCCTACTTATTAAGAATAATGATAAGCTAATATAAATAAATAAAAAGTTTGCTAGAGTTTCAATTTGTATTACATGGAATCTATAGCTCAGAATATCTTGAAAACATTTTTTTTCTTACTCTCTTCAGGATACATCCAGCCCCATTCCCCTACAACCAAATCCCCATTTAGTGAGAGTCCGTTCTCCGAAGGCCAACCAGGCGCTATGTGAAGGGAAGACATGTTCCCACCCCCAGGAGGACCCCTGCTTCTCCTCTGGGCTGAGTCTTTCCTCTCCCAGCCCTCCTTCCCCTGTGCTGGCCGCCTAGAGAAGAGGTGATCTGGCAGCCCTGGAAACCTGGCCACATAAAGGGACACTCATGTCAGTTGCTTGTGTTTTTCGTAAGCCCTCAGTCACTTCCTCCTGATGGCAAGTCGGCTGGTGTGTGCCGTGGAGGTATGTCGAGGGTAGGGCTTATGGCCGACAGGCATGGCCACCCAGGCAGGTGGGGGGAAACGGGTGGCGTTGCACACTCCGTTGGGCCCAGGGCAGGGGAGCGTGTCCTGTAGAGTGTCTGAACAAGCCAGCCTCAAACCCTCAGCCCCCACAGCCCTGGCTTAAGATCGCGGTCAGCACCCAGCCAGAGCAGTCACCGCTCAGGGATGGCGGTTCACCCTGGGTGAGCATCATGTACCGCAGAAGGAACTAGGCCACTCACCTTCCCTCTTGGGGATGGAAAACCGGTTCTCCAACTCCCATGTGGAGAAAGGTCCCAGCCCAGCTGAGGCCCGGCCCAGCTCTGGCCCAGTGCCCGAGCCCTTTAGGCTGGTCAGTGCCAGGCCTTCTCCCACCCGCCAGTTGGGTCCCCAGAGTGGTGGCTGTGCACCAGGGCATCTCACAGACCGGTGATGTGAGCTTGATTCGGCAGACATTTCTCCACTGAGCAGTGTGGCAGTGGAGCAGTGAGGACCAGAGCAGCCCCCTCCCGCAGCCCCCGAGAGACGTCATCCCGCCCCAAGACTCGCCGGGAGGCACGTAGGAGGCTGACCTCTGGCTGGCCCCCGCCGGCCCGCCCTGCCCCTCGGTGTGTGATGGGCACACCTCTGCCACGCTGTGGGCCCCTTGCCCCCTGCGTGGGCAGTACTTCGAGAAGCCCCTGTAGGCCGTGCATGTGTCTGCGGGGCTGTTCATCCCCATCTGCCCTCGGGACAGTCTGCCTTTGTCCCATCCTGGCAGGCAGAGAGCACTCAGGGTTTGGGAGGGGGCTTCCAGGGCAGCAGGGGGGCTCCTGGGAGGGCTGACCCCTGCTCTCCAGGGCACCACTCTGTCCAGTGTTGATGTCCACAGTCCGTGTCATCCACAACCTCAAGAGAAACGATATCCTTGATTTTCCTATGGAGCCCAGTGAAAGCATGAGCCTTCCCATCCTGTCTCAGAAGCATCAGAGCTGGGATTTGGGCCCAGGCTGGTGGCTCAGATGGTAAAGAATTTGACTACAATGAGGGAGACTCGGGTTCGATCCGTGGGTCAGGAAGATCCCCTGAAGAAGGGAACAGCTACCCTCAGCATTCTCGCCCGGAAAATCCCATGGACAGAGGAGCCTGGCGGGCTACAGTCCATGGCATCGCAAAGAGTCAGACACGACTAAGTGACTTTCACTCTTTCACTTTCACAGTGTTCGTAGAATAGGGCTCTTTTCACCCCCTCCTCTGAGCAGCTACTTCATTCTAAAATGGGGGTTACAAAAAATTTCTAAAAAAGTGAAATTGGAGTAGCAGAACCAGTGTGTGGCTCTGGTGGCCTCCAGAAGGGTGAATTTCCCACCCCCACTTTTTTTTTCAATTTAAGTTGCAGAAGGGGGAATTCAACCTTGATCCTTTGTTAGAAAGGCTAGATCCTAGAGCAGCACCAAGACTTTGGCCATTTGGCAGTAATCAGGGTGGGGCGGGGGGAGCAGTTAATTGGACATCCGTGTGGGTCAGTCTCCTCATTAGCGCTCAGCTGAGTGAATCAGGGCTTGAACCGCGCTCCACCCAAGCAGGCCTCCTTGTTTACAAGTGTGGAAATCGGAGCTAAGGACGGGGTAGTCCCACAGAGACTGGGCCCCAGGTGTTCTTGACTGCGTGACCAGCGCTCAGCTCTAGGGGAGGACAGGGAACGGTGGGTGGCTCGGCTGCTGGGTGGGTGGTCTTGGAGCGGCCAACCCACCAGCTGATGCTGCTCTTGCCTGTTGCCACTGGCCCTTCCCTGTCCCCCGCTGTGTCCCCGTCATACCAGCCGGTCTTCTGAAGCCTGGGCACCAGGGGGTGCTGGGGGTGTGGGTGCTGCGGGCTTGGGGTTCAGCTCCCACCAGACTCTCCTCTCTCCTCCTCATCTCAGGACCCTGGACCCTGGATCCAGGTTCTGAGAGCGGCAGGGGTTTTTTTATTCTCACTAATCCCTGCAGTTTTCTTCCCACACCCAGTTTCTCTTCCGCTTTTCTCCCCACCCTGTTATAAATGAAAGCCAGCGTTACCAATCCTGCCCCATTTTCTCCCCCAGTGCTTCAGTGACCTGGCATTTACCTCCAGGCCTGAGGCAGGCATTAGGGGATGGGGTTCAGGGCGGTGTCCCTGCTCCATAGAGAAGGCAGACCCTGGGGTAGGCAGCAGGCTTCTTCCACACCAGCCTGGCTGGTATGGCCCCGGGACATGGGGGTTTAGCCAAGCCCCAGGACTGCAGGCTGTGGGGGCTCTGGCAGAGGGCAAATGAAGCTGGTGAACAGGGGACTGATTTGGCGTCACAAAAGCCCCGAGTTGAGACCATGCCTCTTGCTGATTTGTGTAGCCACACACACCTTCTGGACTCCTTCACTTGAGCTTGCCTGTGCCGCAGCTGGAGAAACCAACCACATTTCCCTGGCACGGACACAGGGTCCCCTAGATGAGAGACTGCAGGAGGCCTCCTGTTGGGGAAATGTTCCCAGGACTTCCAAGGGGCCAGCAGTGCAGGGAGGGCTCAGAAGAGCTGAGGAAGAAGGACCCACATCTAGTCCCATCTGGCTGACAGGTTGCGGGGGGCACCTCTGCCTCCCCCAGGGCGTGGCGGGTCTGGCCCAGTGTCTCTGTCGTGCTTTTATTAAACAGCAGCTCCCGGGACCTCTCTCTCTCTGCTGCCCTGTGGAGTTGGCCGAGGGCCCGGCCCATGTGCGGGCTGCTGTGTGTGGAGGTTGGCATTGGATGAGCCGCTGAGCCAGGGAGGCCTCCGGGGAGCACTTGGTACAGCCCGCCCTGCCCGAGGAGATGCGCGGAAAACAACTCCGAGGCGGTGGCCAATCCCAGGGTGCGATTCTGGCTCCTCGTGGCCCTCCCTCTTCATAGAGGTAACAGGGTCGGCCCTGCTAGATTTTCAAGCCCTCGTGCAGGCGTGAGGTGTGTGAGCTTCTCATGGCCGTCCAGGCGGATCGTGGCTTTCCCGGCCTTGCACACTGCCATGCCTGTTCCCCAGCCCTGGCTGGCTACTCCCAGCACACCAGACCCTTGCCACATGTGTCTGAGGCTCCGGGGCATGAAGACTGTGAGTAGGAAGCGGGCTTGGGGAACCAGTGGGTGACCACTGGTTTCCCTTTTAGGAGTAACTCAGCCCAAGAGCTCTGGTCCTTGCTTGGAGTTGTAGCTTCCTTGTCTCATGCTGCTGTGTGACCCTCTAAAACTGGTGCAAACTCTCTGACCCTCAGTTCCCACAGCTGTCCAGTGGAGATAGTGCTGGAGAGACAGAGTGAATGCTCTCCGGGTACCCCTGGCCCCAGCTCTGCTTGAGTACCTACATTGCACGGGGGGCTTTGGGAGAGCATGCAGCCTGGCTGCTAACGGGAAGATGAGAGGCTGAGGCTCAGAGATGCTTCTGTCCCCATGCTGTCCACCTGCCCCAGGTCATCTGCAGAGAGAGCAAAGTCGGGAAGTAACCAGCTCTTGTGTCTTCATCTCATGCCAGCCTGCAAGTATAAGAGATGAACGAGACTGTGTCCCGCACGCACTTTACTTCCTCTCTGCTTGTTCTCGCTGCCCTTTAGGGAACTCAGGCTGCGGAACTACGTCCCAGAGGATGAGGACCTGAAGAAGAGGAGGGTGCCCCAGGCCAAGCCAGTTGCGGGTAGGTGGGCTCTGTGGCCCTGTCGGCCGCCTCCTCCTTGGCATGCGTCACCCTCTCCTGGAGAATAACTGGCAGTGCCTGGGCTGGAAGCTGGGCCTCTGGGACCCTCCATCACCGTCTCACGGCGGGTGGACAAGTAGCAGCAGTCAGGGCACTGAAGCAGCCTGTCACGCCTGCTTCGCCCTGCTCACACGCTGCCTTGCAGGCAGACATGGCCCTTGGCTCTTGGACAGCAGGAACAGGAGGATGGGTCCTCTGGGCCCTTGGAGGGTCAGAGAGACCCTGAAGAGGGGCTGACCGTCCAGGTTCCTGGGGAGCAGTGGGCAGGCAGACACCCGCCCAGCTCTGGGAGTGGCAGTGCTGGGGCACAAACGGTGGGGAGAAGTGTCCTCGCTGAGGGGCTGAGGGGCCTGGCCCAGTCACCCCTGGATGGGAAGCGTCTGGCCAGCTGCGGCCTGTCCACAGCCATCCATGTGGGGGATGCTGGGTGCTTCTTATCATGCAGATCCATGACTCTGGCTCGGTTTTTATTCTTTGATTTTTAATTTTAATAATTAATAAGTACACTTATCCTGTGAAAGAATGAAAGTGTTAGCTACTCAGCCACACACACCCCCAGTCTGCTTCCCCATCTCCTTGGGCCCTGAGAGCACAAATCTAATCCTCCAGAGCTGCCTTGGCAAGGTCTTTGCCTCTAGGGAGTTAGGGGCTGAGGGGAGAGGCAGGGGCAAGAAAGCGCAGGCCCCCCTGGGGACCCGCGGCTGCAATTGGCCACATCCACATCCGGGAGTGGCGGCAGGTTTCCGACCGTCATCCGTTGGTGTCTTGCGCCCTCTAGTGGAAGAGAAGGTGAAGGAGCAGCTGGAGGCCGCCAAACCAGAGCCGGTCATCGAGGAAGTGGTGAGTGCCTGGCGGTGGCCCTGTCCTCCTCTGCTGCTTCTGCGGGTCCTTTTCCGCTTCCCACCTGCTCTCCTCACTCACCCTACCTTCTCCTCGCTTCTTTCTTCCCTTTCTACCTCCCTGCTTCCCCTCAGCCCTCTCCTCCCCTTCCTCCCCTCTTCCTACCTCTGTCCCCCGTCTTCTCCTGAGCCCCTCCGGTGCTGACACGTGTCTGCTCCCTCCCAGGACCTGGCCAACCTCGCTCCCCGGAAGCCGGATTGGTGAGTGTTGCCTGTGTGGGACCAGTGTAGACTGACTGGGATGTTCTTGGTGTCCGGCATGGGCTCACAGTGGGAGGCAGGCAGTGGAGACAGACAGCCGTGGGGTATAATTACGGTCTGACGTCTGTGCTGAGAAGGATGTAAGTGGAGAATGAGGGGCGTGGCAGGGCATGGACCCCTGACGGTGGGGCGCGGCTCAGGCAGAGGGTGTTCAGCAGTCCCCTCCAAAAAGTCCCTTCTGAAAGGATGAGGGCCCTCCGCGCCTCAGAGAGCTCCATCTGAACAAGGCTGACCTTTGTCCTCAGGGAGCTGTAAGGTGGAGGCAAGATGGCGGGAAGGGCAGGGGTAGGCTTTGCCCCACTTCTGCCACCAGCTAGCCTGTCCGCCTTTGATCCCGGTTCCCTCTTCTGTGAAATGGGAATCTTCACTGTCCTGGAGGCCCTGTGAACTGAAGGTGTTCTAATTTGATGAGACAAAGGATGGGGCGCGTGTGCTCGGAAACCCCGAACCAGGGGGAAGAGGCTGTGTGTGCACGTGTGGAAGTTCCTGGGGGTGAGGGGAACTGGGGCCAGAGGCAGAGCAGGACCCCCAGCGGGCCAGGGCGCGTCACTCCCTGACGGAGACCAAGGGGAACAGACCGAGGGGGCCCCTGGGAACCATCTGGCCTGCGCGCCTTGGCTCAGCCCCCTGGGTTGGGCGGGTCGTGGTGCTAGCCCCTGCCTCTCTGGGGCTGCGACGGGTGGCTGCTGCTGGGTTTTGGAGGATACAGAAAGGGAGAGAGAGGGGCACCCTGACCTCGGGCACACCATTGTGGTTCCTAATGCCAGAGGGGCTGTCGGAGGTGAGGGAGCCCCAGGGCCACACCGGGCCAGCCTTCAGCCTCTGCCTCTTCCCGCCTCCCTGCTCCAGGGACCTCAAGAGAGATGTGGCCAAGAAACTGGAGAAGCTGGAGAAGCGGACCCAGAGGGCCATCGCTGAGCTGATCCGTAAGTGCGGGGCCGGCACGGCGGGGCTCCCTGCCCTCTGGGTGGCGGCGCTCGCACGTGGCCCCTCTCCACGCCTCCTGTCTGCCCCCATCCAGGTGAGAGGCTGAAGGGCCAGGAGGAGAGCCTGGCCTCTGCAGTGGCCTCCACCGCCGCCTCCGAGCAAGAGGCCTGCGACTCTGACTGAGCCGCCTCCAGGCCTGTCTTACAGGAGGATGGTCTTGGGCCGGGGTAGGGGCTGGACTTGTCATCACCTCCAGTTTGCTTTCAGAAGTGACTCCCTGCCTCGCAGTCTGAACCCCACCCGTCCCACCGGGGTGAGGTCAGCTCCTTGTCTCCTGAAGGGCCCCCTGCATGCTGAGTGGGGGCAGAGGCTACAACAGCCCTGTGGGCATGCTGTATCTGTGCTTGTTCTGTGTATTTTGAACTTCTTTTTCTATCTGGAAATAGAAACACGCTGACCCCTGTGTGTGGCAGAAGACTGTCTGAATACTGGGGATGTTTTGAGTTCGGGCCCCGAGGCAGGGCAGCTGCAGAGGTGATGCTTACTGTGAGGAGGCCCTGTATTGGGCCAAGTGTGTTGAGGTTGGAGGGGTGGGGAAGGCCCAGGCCTGACCTTCCGCCATCTAGGTCCTGGCCCAGTCCTTGGTTAGCGGTCATCATCTCAAAGCCCTCGGGTGACAGTTATAGACCTCATGGTAATCTGTGGGACACCTTGGAGAGGTTCTCGCTGTGGTCCTCTGTAGACCCCCTGACAGTGAGAGAGAGAGAGAAGAGACTGGGCCCCTGACAGGGGTGCGCTGCATCCAGGCAAGCCTCAACTCCAGGCTGCCACAGATTGGAGTCTGCGGCACCGTTCATTCACGCCCACTTAGCCCCAGAAAGCCCTCTTCCCCCTTCACCTGTCAGAGCTGGACTCTGGCTTCCCCGGGACAGGGCCCCTTCATGGGGAGGGGTGGCCTGTTCTGCTCACCACTTGGATATTGTAGCCTGGGTGTCGGGAGTGGCCTTGAACCCTGGGCCCCCCGGCTGTAGGACCATGAGCCTCCCATGTAGAGTTTACTGTCCAGAATGACCGGCTGACCACAAGGCTGACTCCAAGTACCTGTGACCATTTACTTCATCTCCTCTAGGATGGTAACACTCTTGAGTTTCCTTCTGGATTTCCTGTTGAACCTCCTGCCCCAGTCATGGGTCACATCCCAGTGTATTCCGCCCTCTAGTTTCCAGAAACACAGTGGCTTGGCTCTGGTGGACGGTGCTGAGGAGTCGGGTGATGGAGGGCAATGAGCGTGTGCACACAGACCGCCACACTCATACAGTAAAGCAGACGCTTGAACGTACAATGACACAACTCCTCTAAGAAGGTAATTCTCAGGAAAGGAGCAGAAAGTCACAGCTGTAAGTAAGGGCCGAAGTGGTAGGTGGCTGACAAGGCCAGGACTGATTCCACCCACAAGGGACAGGGATCAGACATGCCCCCCAGGTGTCAGGGCTGGAGACAGGCTCCCTCTGCATAGCCAGGGGTCTAGAGCTGTTAGGCATAAAGGATGAAAAGATGCTCACACCTCCTGGGATTGCAGATGGAAGCAGGATGTTTGTCTGTGGCAATGTAGGATGAAAAGATGCTCACACCTCCTGGGATTGCAGATGGAATCAGGATGTTTGTCTGTGGCAATGTAGGATTCAGATACCTCGCAATGTAGGATTCAGATACCTCAAGTAGGCCCCTGCTTGGCACCCTGTAGGTAGAGAGAAGGAAAAGCAGAAACTACCCATGAGGGGTCCTCAGAAATGACAAAATGCTTGAGAAAATCCAAACAATGCCAAAAAGAATGGCCAACAACCCAAGGAGTGGGAGAATTTCTGCTGGAAGAAAGTAAAGCAGTCACATCCTGACAGGCTTTGAAATGAGTGTTTGTTTCTTCACCAGAGAGACCAAAGAGGGACTGACCCCCTCACAACTCAGGCCCAGGGATTTGTTATAAAAAACAACTGATGAGAAATCTTGAAAATAAAGACTGTTTATTAAAATAAGAAACTCACTGAATGAGTTGAATGATAACTTATAGTCGAAGGAGAGATTGATAAATCAGAATTAAAGCTGCAGATCCAAAAGTTGGCAGAGAGAGAAATAAGGAATGCTTAGAGAAGCATCACACACGCAGAATGAGTGATCCAAAAATGAAAGCGGGGAATTGTGACCAAGCCTTGGAAGTGATATTCCTCCACAGTCTGTTTGTTGGAAACAAGTCACTCCATCCAGCCCACACTCAGAGGGAGAAGACTTAGATTACACCTCAAGGTGGAATCTTTAAGAATTTGAGGGTGTATTTTAAAACTAGCACATACCTGGACACAGTGTAATAAATTGTCAGAACAAAAAGACCAATAAACGATCTTAAAATTAGAGAATTTATCATCTTGCAAAGAGCAAGCCCACAGCAGATATCTCAGCCACAGCCAGCGTTAATGGAATGGTACCTTCTAATATCAGTGTTAACAGACAAAGATAATTGTTGAAAATTCTATACCTGACAAGAACATATCTGACAAGTACAGAATATTTTTAGACAAAACCAGAGATTTTTGACACCAGCAGACTAAAAATCTATTTTGAGGTAATGAAAATACTCTGAAATGGACTGTGGTGGTAGTTGTACAAATCTGTGAATATGCTCCAAGCCTTTGTATTGTACCTTTAAATGGGTGAATTGTATGAGGTATGTATTATATCTCAATAAAGCTGTTTTTTTTTTTAAATGAATGTCTTCAGACTGTAAAGCTGAAGATCCCTTTTTTTTAAATGCAAAAAATGCATGTCTTCAGACTGAAGGGCCACAAAAATCTGAGATATAAGGAGAAACTAAGAGAAAGAAAATATACATTTAAGTAGGCACTGGCCTTATAAAACAAATAGGTGTTGTGAAGTAAAAAAAGACCTACTTAGAATACATAACAACCATGGTGTGTATGTCCCAAAGTGAAAGGTGACTGGAATTCTAGCCATCAACCAAACTCAGGAAGAGAGAAAAGACTCTGGTATACGGGCAGGCTGACATTTCTAGAATAACCCTAAAAATAAACATAGAATGTGCTTCCTTCCAAAGAAATTGAGAAAAAAATAGAATGAGAAAAATTATCCAAAAGAAGGCAAAGAGGAAAAAAAAGAGGCAAATAAATCCAAATATGTCATATATTACTATTAACTTACTGCTCAAAAAAGAAAACACCTCGGTCTGATGCTGTTTAAAGAGAAACCTAAACCCAGTCTTTCAAGGAGAAAGACTGACCGTGAAGGGACTCTCGGGTAGCTGAAATGATGCCGCACCTGCATTTTCACTACAATGGTCAAGATGGGTAAAGAGGGAAATCCTACAAGCTACAGGAGGAAAACAGAACACAGACAGATTGCCTACTGATCAATGAGTTCCACTTTTCATCAGTAGTAGAAACGGAAAGAAAAATTTTCCTAAGTGCCGAGGAAACATAAATGTCAATTATGTCATAATGCTCTATTATAAATAATAAGGGCAAGATAGACTTTTCAGGCTGATGACACTGTTTACGATGTACTGAAATTTGCTGAAAGGATACTCCATAGCAGGAGGAGCGGGGTGGGGCCAGGGAGAGACATGGGAATCAGGATGGCATTTAATAGGTGCACCTACAGATCTTAAGGAGAGGTTTGTTGCTCTTGTGTTACATCTAGTGACTCCTTGAGACCACCAAGGACATGAGTCCCTTCTGGGTCCCCAGCTGCCATCCTTAGCTCCCTAGGAGCCTCCCCCACCTCCCTCCAGGTTGGGGCTCCAGGCAAGGGGAGGGGAATGGTGGGGGGAGAGAGGGTGAAGGGCAAACCAGCTGAAGAAACATGGCTTCAAGCCCAGTCCTCCAGGCTTGCCTTCACGTCTGATCAGCCATCGCTGTGTCAAACTCAGTCCTAACTGCAGATGTGTGGGAGGAAGGGTATTTTAAGCTAGGCACATTGCCACCATGATTGATGGTGAGGTTCCATGGGAAAGGAAGAAGGGCAGAAAGAGTGCTGGAAAAGGCAGCAGTGCCTGCCACAGGATGCGGGAAGAAGTGGTGAGCAAAGAAACTGGTAAACCGCGCAAAAATCAGTAATCGACTAAAGAAAGACTGACAAAGAGGAGACATACATTAGGAATATTAGGAAATGAAATAAGGCAATCACTGTAGACCCCATGGACATCAAAAGGACAATAAAGCGATACTATAAATAATACCCACATAAATTTGACGGGTTGATTTAATGGACCAATTCCTTGAAAAGCACAAACTGCCGCAACTCACCCAAGATGAAAAGATAATTTGCATAGCTCTGTAACTACTAAGGATATTGAATTAATAGTTAATAATTTGAGACCTCTTGAAAAAGAACTCTCCAAGCCCAGGTGATTTTACTGGAGAATTGATACACAGGTTTAATGCAATTCACATCAGAATCTCAATAAGATCTTTATATATGGACAAGAATATTCTAAAATGTGTCAGGAAAGTTGCAAAAACTTGAACAGTTTAAACAATATTTAACTAGATGAATGAAGCCCCTAGTGGCTCAGATGGTAAAGAGTCTCCTTGCAATGCAGGAGACCTGGGTTCGATCCCTGGGTGGAGAAGATCCCCTGGAGAAGGGAATGGCAACCCACTCCAATGTTCTTGCCTGGAAAATCCCACGGACAGAGGAGCCTGGCGGGCTACAGTCCATGGGGTCGCAAAGAGTCGGACACGAATGAGCGACTAACACTTGCACTTTCATAAAGTAGGAGGAGCCAGTCTCCCCATTTAAAGACTTACTGTACAGCTATGGTAATCAAGATAGTGGTGTTGGTGGGAAAATAGGCACATAGATCAATGGAAGGATACAGAGAACTCAGAAGTAGCTCCACACAGGTACAGCCAACTAATTTTTGGCAAAGGTACAAAATGAGCTCAATGAAGGAAGGATAGTCTTCAGCAGATGATGCTGGACTGATTGGAAATCCATCCATAGGCCCCTCAAAAAGGAACCCTAAACTTCAAACCTTATTACAAAAGTTAAAGTGGATCATAGGAGGAAAGCTTTAGGACCTAGAGCTTGGCGAACAGAGTCCTCAGACGTGAGAAAGCATAATTCATAAAGGAAAAAAAAGGAGCAAATTTGACTTTTGCTCCAACAAAGACCCTGTTAAGAGGATTAAGAGAAAGGCTACTGAGACAATATTTGCAAACCCAGTATCTGACAAAGGACTCATATCTAGAATAATAAAGAACTCTCGATTGGAGGGAAAGGTGGGAGCTCTCAGGCCCCAGCAGCCCTTCTTATTGGGCAGAAGAAATGGGCCGAGTGACAGTGCCCAGCTCTCTGGATAAAGCCCGGGTGTGCCTACTGCTACCCAGCCCACCAGGCTCTCTGAGACAGCCCTGACTGACCTCCAAACGCTCCACGCCCCTCCTCCTGCCTAAAATCCTCAAG